CCCCCCTCCCTCTCCCCCCTCCCTCCCCTCATCTGCCTGCCCAGCTCCAATCCAGCCATCATGCCCCATGAAGCAATAGGAGTCCGGACCGAGGGGCGAGCAAACCCCCAAACCCCGCCTGCTGACTGACACCCCTCTCGCTCCCTTCCGCATAGCCTGCGTCCGAACTACCAGAAGCGCTATTTCACCATCTGCTCGCTGGCCTTCTGGTGGGGGGCCGTGGTGGCCCTGGTGGGGATGATCATCTGCGTGTCCATGATCCCGCTGTATAAGACCAAGAACCGGTCCTTGCCGCCCGACACCGTGCACCGGATCCTGGTGGACCCCTTCTTCTTCGAGGGGTTCACTCCGTCCGTCATGTCGGACACCGACATGTACATCGTCCCCAATGGGGCGAGCCTCCAGCGACACAGCACCATCACCGGTGACTTGGTCGCCCAGTTTGACGGCCCCCTCGCGGACCACTACCGCGCCATCGAGATGTTCCTGCCGGCCAAGAGTGAGGTGACTTTCATCGCTTCGGGGACCGTGCCGTACGGGTGCCGGATGTCCTTCCTCGTCATCCAGGGAACCCAGAACTTCAGCGATTGGGAATATGGCGATGTCGTGCCCCAAATCAATAGCGGGTCCTTCAACGCCGACACCGTTGTCACTGGCTCCATGACCGTTGGCCAGGGTGATACTTTCTTCTTCATCCTTTACAATGACAATATCAGCGGTTGCGGCAGCGGGCTGTCCCAAATCCAGTTGAGCTCCCGCCAGCCGGCCTACCGGCTGAGCCCTGCCCACCGGTCCACCGGTCAATATTACTCGCTGGCCGGCACGACTAGCCACACGGCCATCCTCTTCCACACGTCCTCGGCCCCGGAGTACCACGCGGCTCGGGTTGTCTATGACCGGAAGGGCGTCCTGGTGAGCCTCTTCCTGTACCTCGGCATGGGCCTTGCGCCATCCATCGCCCTTGTGGCCCTGATCGCCAATTACATGGTATACCGGGTCAAGCACCGCCGCTACCTGTATGGGGCCAAGATCCTGAACATGGCTGCCATGCCGGCGGACATCCTGCCCCCGCCGCTGCCGGAAACCTTCCCCCCTGCGCCGGAGGGCTTTGTCTTCACTCCGCCGGCTGTGGGACCTGATGCTGCGGCCGCCGGTGGCAATGCCGGTGGAGGACCCGGCATGGTCGATCCGACCACGGGAGCGGCTGCCCCGGTGTTCCCTCCCCCGGGCGAGCCGTCGGTGGCCATGCCGCAGCCCCCGGTCCCGAGTTCAAGCGCGGATCTCCCCCCGCCACCTGACTACCATGCCTCGGCGGCGCATCAGCCCCCGGCCTACGTGCCGTACGCGACCAATTTCTCGGCAGACCCTCCCGCCAGTGCTCCGCCCCCGGCGGCCGAGTGGTCGAAGATGTGATGCGGCGCCCGACATGTGGGCATACCTCCGCCGAGTGGCATGCCCCCCCCCCACCCCACCCCGGACGGGTCATACACACACACACACGCACCCGGAAATGCATGATCTCCAAAGGCAGCGGCTGGCAAGAGTCTATTGGGCAAGAGGGGGGGGGGGGGGGGGGACAGCTGGAGGATGCCAGGGCACTTACTGGCGCTTCCCCATGGCCATGCTGAAGAGGAACGCCCCGGCGTCGCGCAGGCGCGAGGTGCTGGGCGAGGCTTGTGGCCCGGCCCCGGCGACCCCCGGGCCCAGGAAGGGCGATGCCACGGTCGAGGAGGGCAGGGACGGCGGGGCGGAGGGCGGCACCGAGGGCGGGGCACGCACGGCCGGCGAGTCGCCCGGGCCGCCGCCCCGGCCAGGTCGTGGGGAGGAGGGCAGTGTCTCCGCCAACACGGCCAAGATGCCGAAGCGCGAGAAGCAGGTCTGAATGTACTCCGCGTCGGTGGTGAGGGCATTCAGCGAGGCATCCTGCCGGAGGAGGGCCAGCTGCGAGGCCGTAAGGGCAGCCACACCGCCGGGGCCGGCCCCGGGCCCGGAGGCACCGGACCCGCCCCCGAGGGGGGCCCCTGGCATCGGGGACCCCACGGCGCCGCCCTGCTGCGTGGCATCAGCCGTCAGCAGGGCAAGCAGCTCCGTGTGGAAGCGCGCGGCGATCGATTGCCCGGCCATTTCCAGGAGTTTGGCCAGGAGGGACGGCTGGCGGATGTACCGGATGAGCACGCGCCGGAGGGTGGTCAGCTCCTTGACCAGGCGCTTGGCATGCTCGGAGGGGCCGCGCGCGGCGTCGGCCCGGCGGGCTCCCGGGCCAGATACCAATTCCATGCGGAGGTTGCGGAAGTGCAGCTGTGCGCGAACATCCAGCACCGAGACCATCTTCTCCTCGAGGTTGGCGCGGTGTTGGCGAAGCTTCCGATGCACCGGCTCAAATTGCGCTGCCAGGGCCTCGGCCAGGTTGTCCCGCCGGCGGTCGCCGGCCCCGGCGCCCTGCGACGTCGGGCCGCGAATCGGGTTGGTCAACAGGAAGAGCAGATGCTCCTGGATGGCTGTACACAGGCACACCAGGATGGAGATGGCATTGTGCGAGAGGGCTGGATGGCGTGTGGAGGGGGGCGGGGGCGGTGTTTTGCACGGGATTCCAAGCGGCGGCGGCGGCGGCGGGGGGGAGGGGGGGGGGGGGCAGAGGGGGGCAGGGGGCATGGGCGGGGGGGGAGGGGAGTACATGAAGGCATGAGGGGAATGTCCCGAAGGCCGAGAAAAGGGCGGGCCAGTGTGGGCAGGAGGTGGGGAAGGCCATGGGGCCGTGGCAGGCGCCACGCACCCAGTTCGTTGATGGTGATTTTTTGCAGCCCGGCGGACTTCATGGCTCCGGAGTTGAGGACTGCCTGGGAGGCGGCCTGGTCAAAAGTGCTGATGAGGTTGGCCGCACGCGATGTGGTCTCAAGGAGGCCGGTCTCGATGCTGGAAAGGAGCGGGGGTGTCAGTCGACGGGCGGCTGGCTTTGGCAGTGGTATAGCGGGGGGGGGGGATCAAGAGCAAGAAAAGGGAGCAGAGAGCAAGAAAGGGGAGAAGGCAGGGGAAAGGGAGCAGAGAGCAAGAAAAGGGAGAAGGCAGAGGAAAGCCAGGAAAAGAGGGGAAAAAAACAACACATCATGCGTGCCCACATACACATAGAAGGTCTGCAGATACTCGTGCAAATAGCGAATGGTCATGAGCAAGGCCGGCACCGCATAGAACGTCTCGCCCGAGGACTGGATGGACAGCGGCACACTCGGCGACTGCCCGGTCGAGTGCGAGGCCGACAGCGAGTCGAAGGACATCTCCGGATCGTCATCGGCCGGCGGGCCGTCGGCCGAGCCGCCGGACGCCGGGGCAGGCGTGGCCGCCACGGCCACCTCCGTCGCGGGCTGGCCCTCGCTCAAGCCCGGCAGCTGGGCAAAGAGCCCGCGCCCAGGGCGCGCGGTGATCTGATCCACCAGGGCCTGGAATTCGCGCGGCACATCACAAACGGCCCAGCGCTCGGTCGACACCAGCCCCTCGATGGCCGCCCGCCGGGTTTGATGGATATTCTGAAAGTGCAGGCGCTCATGGGCACTGAGGGCCGCACGCAGGCGGTTGGTGGACACCAAGGCCGCCGGGGCCGGGACCAGCGTGCCGGACGGGGCCGGCCCATCGGCCGTGACATCGCCCGGGGCCGATGACAGCCACAAAAGTCGGTCGCAAAAGTTGGCCACCAGTCGGTGCTGCCGGAAGAAGTCCCCGAGGGAGGAAACTGCCCGGCGCTGAAGGGCCGCCTGGCGGAGCTGCAGAAGCTGCAGCGCCCGCGACACCGCCGCATCGAGAGCCCCCAGGGTCAGGCTCAGGGACCGGTCGACCCAGCTGTTGGTCAGCGGGTCGGCCGTCAAACCGGGCGCCTGCCGGAGGAGGGCCTGTGCCGTGGATGCCGGTGACCAGGCCACCGGGGCCGGCTCCGAGCCGGGGGTCCCCCCCTCGGCCAGCAGGCTCTCACGCAAATGCAGAGGACGGTCTACCCGGGCCTCGTCGTAGCCAAGGTGCAGGGCGGCCGCACGCACGAAGAACAGGTGCCCGAGGAACATGCGCTCCACGGCGGCCGCAAGCCGGCCAAGGGTCTCGGCCAGGATGTCCAGAAAGGTGGCATCCGTGGCGTCCTTCAGCCGATCGGCCATGGTGGCCGAGAAGCCGGCCTCCAGCGCGGCGTCCGCCGGGTCGGCCACCCCCCCGCCATGGGCCCCGGCTCCGGGTCCGGCTCCGAGGGGGGGGCTTTGCTCCAGGGCATCCTCCTGGCTGATGCGCGTCAAGTGCCGGGCGATGATCTGCCGCGCGTCGGCCGTGAGCGACCGGCGGAAGAGCTTGGAGAAGGAAACCAAGCAGTCGGCAATGACGCCGACACTGCCGGCCGCGATGCTGCGGTCGGTCAGCTGCTGCGAGAAGACGCCCCGCTCGCGGTCCTGGTGCGCGGCCGTCTCGAAGAGTTCGGTCACATGCAGTGGACAGCGGCTGGTGAAGCGCAGCTCGGCGCCCAGGCGAGCCGAGCTGTCCGTCGGCGGGGCGAAGCGCTCCTGCTGCAAGAGGTCCACCGACCCGGGCAGGGAGGCGTCGGTCTCAAGCACCAAGCTGCAGATGTAACTGCGGAGCTGCTGGCCGAGAGCCGCCTCAAGTTCCTCGCGCTTGGTGGAAGGCCAATTCCCCGGTAAGTGACATGCGAAGAGGGCCAAAGGGGACAGCGCGCAAGGGGGAATGGGACCGTCGGGCGGGCGGGCGGGGAAGGGGGGGGGGGGGAGGACGTACACGCTCGCCCAGGTCCGCGGTGATGTCTCGGACGCAGGCCAGCTCCGGGAAGAGCTCGGCCATCTGGGACCGGGTGAGTGGTTGAGGGTGGCGAGTGGCCGGCGAGCCGCTGGTCGAGGCTCGGGGAGCCACGGCCGAAAGGTTCAAGTCGTCGTCGGCGAAGGCGGTCAGCTCGCGCAGGCGTCCGGTCAATTTCGGATCGGCCAAAGGCACGAGACTGGCGGTGGGAGAGATGCTGCCGGCGCCGGGGGTGGCACTGGCAGCCAGCGACTCCAGCAGCAGGAAGAGCACCTTCTCCTGGCCGGGGATGAAGACATTGCTGGTGCGCAGGACTTGGTCGGCGTAGGACAGAGCCAGGCGAGCCAGCTCGAAGGCCCCATCCGCCAGGGCGCCCCGCGCGAAGGCGGCCAGGGCACGGAGGAAGCCCGCCGCATGGGCCAGGCGCAGGGTTTGTGCCGAGACCGACCGCCGGGCGGCCAGGGCCAGCGTCTGCTCCGGCGCGGTGATGGTCACCGACCGGGCCTGGGCCAGCTGCCGCTGCGCACGAGTCAGGGCCCCGGTGGCCGCCTCCAGCTCCACTTGCACGCTGGCCAGATGCCCCTCCGGGTGGAAGGCCGCATGGCTGAGGGCGCCCTCATGCCGGCACAGGGCCACCGTCAGCATGGCATCCACCGTGCGCAAATGGCCACGAAGGCGCCCATGCAACAGGCCCAGCCCCACCGGCAGGGTCATATCCTCCAGGGTGCATGAATCCAATGCACGCGGCGTCCGGGCCACATAGGCCGAGAGGGTGGAGTTGCTGGGGGCCGGGGTGGCGAAGCGCCCGGACAGCGGCCCGGAGGCCGGGGCATCGGCATCCACCGGCTCCCACAGGTCGTCAACCCCGAGCAGGGTGAGGATCTGGTTGAAGGTGTCGGGGTCGGTCAGGTCGAAGTCCTCGGCGAAGAAGATCTCCGGGATGTCGGCCAGTGACACGCCCAGCCGGGCCAAATCCACCGAGGAGAGGGCCGGCGTGACGTCCACCCCGGCCGAGCCGCCCGGGGAGAGCATGTCGCCCGATGTGCCGGCACGCGCGCACAGGGTCTCCCGCGTCAGGGCCACGGCCGCCTCGGCCAGGGCATACCCCGGCGCCCGGACTTCCGCGTCCTCGGCAAAGCGAATGCGATACCCATCGACGGCCAGCCCGCTGGACAGGATGGGCCGCGCGGTCAGTGCCCGCTCGACCACCTGCTCGAAGAGCCCGGCCACCATGGCCGCGTCGAGGGGGACCTCCATGTCCACCATGGCGGCGGCATGGTCCCCATCCGGGAGGCCACCCGGCCCGGGGACCTCGGCATCCGGGGCCCATAGAAATTGGAGATCCTCATCACTTTGGAAGATGCGCGCCGCCCCGGGGGAGAGCAGGGCCCCGACGGCCGACGAGGGCGCGGGGGACATCGGCCCGGAGCCCGGGCCCCCGCCGGGGGCAGCCGCCCGCCGAGAGGCCGGGCTGACATCGATCGATGCCAGGGGCTCGGCTCCGGCGGCCGGGCCGCGCGGCGGCGGCAACGCCGCCTGTGCCCGATGCGCCGGCAGCAGTGTGCAGAACTTGCTCAATTCCGGGTCAATGTACACCGTGCTGCTGGCCGCGGCGATGTCCGCATCGTACACCACTCCGGTGGCCTGGGCCAAAACATAGGAGGCTGCCTGGCTGGCGGCGCTCATGGCCGCCGCCCCGGCGACCGAAGCCACCGTGGACAGGAGGTTGCTGCTGCTGGCACCGGGGCCGGACCCGGGGCCGGATGCGGCCCCGGCACCCGAGGAAGTGCCAGGGGCCGTGCCATCCGGCGAGAGGAGCCCCTGCTGCTCGGCCATGAGTTGGGCAATTTGCACGCCGGGGGCGGCCACAGCCGCGGAGATGCTGTTCCGGCCGATGATCATGGACGATGACCACATGGGCAGATGCGACAGGGGCAGCAGGGCCGCCTGGACTTGGGTGGGCAGCGGCCGCTGCGCGCGGCTGGACCGCTTGCCGAAGGGCCCGGACCCGGGCCCCAGAAGGAGAGATCCGGCCCCGGGCGCCATGCCGGGCCCGGCAAGCGACCGGGCCACGGCGGCCGATGCACGCAGGGCATCGAGCATGGTCACCCCGCCGTCGGGCAAATCCCCAGCCCGAGCGGGCAGCCCGCCGCGAGACCCGGCCCCGGGAAGGGTGAGCCCCGTGGCGGCCGCCGCCGCGCGGGGGTTCGCCACCGCCGTCGTGGCTCCAGCCGTGGCCAAGCCGGAATCGGCCCGCGTCCATACGGCCTCCAGGGACGCGGCCGGAATGATCCCCAAAAAGACCATGGCCGCCGGGGCGAGGATGTGCGCGGCTCGAGCCCGGGCCAGGAGGGGCCCCAGCCAGGCGGTCGCGCCGCCGGCGCCGGGAGTTCCCCCGGGCGCGGGATTGCCATCGGACCCGCCGGAGTGGAGTTGGCTCCAGCAGGTGGCCAGGTCGGGGCCCCAGCTGGACACGGCCAGATCATGAAGCAGCTCCGCCAGGGCCAGCGGGCTGAGGGGGGCATCTGCATCGAAGAGGGCGCGGATTTCATCGCGCAGGGAGCCCCCCCCAGAACGTGACCCAGGCCCCGAGGGGTGGTAGAGCTGCTGGCCGGCCGGCGGGTGGTGGCCCGACTGGGGCCCCGGCGAAGGGGGCTGCTGCTCCGGGGCAAAGAGCCCCGGCGCGGCCAGCACCGCCGCCCGGGCAAGGTGCACACGACGGGCCACGGCCCAGGGTCCGGTCCAAAGCCCGGCGAATTCCGGATGCAAGCCCGGACCGGTGGGGGTTTGGAAATTTTGCGAGGAGACATCGGTGGCCGCCAGGCCGGACGCCGCGGCATAGGCCCGGTGGCCGAGGATGCGCACGGCCGACAGCCACCGGCGCCCGGTCCCGGCCCCGGGGAAGGACGCCCCGGCATGACCGCCCAGCAGGGCGGCCTCGGCGGCGGCATGTGCCCCGACCGGGGCCGGGGCATCGCGCAATGTCGGCGGCGCATGCAGCAGCCCAGCCGCAAAGTCCCCCAGCCGCAGGAGGCACACGGCCAGGTGGTCCAGGCCCAGGAGGAGATCCTCCCCCAGCAGACAGGCCACCAGGCCCAATTCAAAGTGACACAGCAGCTGACCCAGGCCGATGCCATTCACATCGATGGCCGGCGCGCAGCCGACAAACAGGGCCGTGGTCGGGGACGTCCCCAGAGCCCGGCACAGGCGACTGAAGCGAGCCCCCAGCCACCGGAAGCCGGATGTGGATTGGCCCTCGGCGGGGGCCCCATCACCGAGCAGGGCCTCCTCGGCCACTGGGCCGAGAAGGTCGCGCGGGGCGGCACGCGCCAGCTGTCGCAGCCGGTGATAGCACGCCCGCAGGGCCGAGTGATCGGGGGACCCCTCCAGGGGGAGGAGACGCGCGCGCAGGCCGGCCGGCAGGGCGTCCGCCCGGCCGGCTGCCCCGGCCCAAAGGTAGGGCGACTGCTGGGACAAGAACTGCATGTTATTGTCCAGGGAGGCTGTCAGCCAGGCCGAGAGGGCCGGACTGGACACCTGGGACCGGGCCATGGCACGGGCACGCTGCCAGAGGCCGAGGGCCGCCGCCGGTGGGCAGTACATGCTGCCCGTGGATGGGGCCGGCGTCGGGGGGGCGGACGTGTGCGGGGCGACATCGCTGCCGGGCGCATCGCCCATGTCGCCGGTCGATACCGGCAGCATGAGGAGCCGGCGGACCCAGCGCGAGGAGCGTCGCGGATCTGAGGCCGTGGTCAGCCAGTCGGCCTGGCCGGAGGTGGAGGCCACGATGACGGCCAAGTTGTTCAAGAGGGCCACCACCCGGCAAACGCGCGCGTCGGCCGAGGCCGACTCCCCGGCCGTGCGGTCCATCAGGCCGAAGTCGTGGCTCAGCTGCGCCCCGGGCCCAAAGTCCGAGGCGGCGGCGGCCGCCGCCTCGGTGGGCGACGTGGGGGCCGACTCGGTGCCGGGCCCGGAGCGCGAGGAGAACCCCGCACGAATGGGCCTCAGGGGCGAGGCAATGGCCGCGCGCGCGGCGCGCCCCATGGACCCTCCGAGGGACGAGGCCGCGCTCATGATCTTGGTCGACCCGGCAGCGGCCATCATCAATGTGGAGGAGCTGCCGCTGCGTGAGAAGGAGCTGAGGGACGAGCGACTCGGCGAGTTGCTCATCGACCCGGGGGTGCTTGATAGATGGCCGGCTCCGCCGGGGCCCTGATCGTCCCCGCGAAGGGGGAGGGGCTCGAGATTCAGCGACCGGTCCACCTCGCGCAGGGCCTCCTCCAGCAGCGCGCGAATGGTGAAGTCCGAGACGCTGGCCGCGCTTTCCAGCACGCCGTCCAGCAGGGCGGGCGTGGCAGCCGACAGGCGGCAGGCCTGCGGCCCATCGGCCGGGTCATTGGGCGGGGCCTTCGTGCTGGGGGTGGGCCCGGCAGTCGTGCCGAGCCCGGCGGGCGTGATGCCCACTTCGCTGGCGGCCGCTTCGGTGACCGCGTCATCCAGGACCGCCAGGACCTGGGCCGTGCGAGAGCTGATATGCGCCAGGGCAATCCCATGCAGCAGGTGACCCCGGTCGCCGGGGGAGGAGGCCACCGGCGAGTAGAGGCGCTCGGCGGTCTCCAACGCCCGCCGGGCCAGGTGCCGCCGGGCCGCCGCCGAGAAGGAGGCCCGACAAGCGCGCGACACCGCCAGCTCGATGGCATGGACCGTGCCGGCGCCGAGGGCCAACTGCTGGCGCTCGCCCACCGAGGAGGCGGAAGACGCGGCGGCCGCCGCGGCTACCGTGGCTCCCGGCGAGTCGGCCTGTGCCACGGGGTCCGACGGACGCCACGACTGGGTGAACCACTCTTCGGCCGAGGGCCGCGTGGAGCCGGTGGTCACCAGCCGCAGCGGGCCAGCTGTCCGGGCGAAGTCGCCGATGATCTTCACCGCCAGCAGGTAGGCCGCCGTATCGTCGGGCAGCTGCACCGAGCCGAGGCCCTGTGTGGTGCTCATTTTGAGGGGCGCCGCGGGGGAGGGCGATCAATCGGGGCAGAGCGAGCCTGGTCGAAGCAGGGGAGGGGAAATGGGGATGGGGGGCGGGGGGAGGGGGGAGGTCGAGCGGAGGAGGGGGGAGACAGGGAGAGTGGGCGGAGGTCGCCTTAGGCGGCCATCAGACGCCGGAGCTGTGTATTGGGCGCGGGCGCGGGCGCGGGCGGGGAGTTAGCACCGGGACGGGGGGATGGGGAAGGGAAAAAGCGATCACCGCACCGAAAGGCACACAGAGGGTGAACTATGATGGGGGCCAGTGAGCGGGGCGAGGGGGGAGGGAGGGGCGGGAGAAGGAGGGAGGAGACACATGGAAGCAGCTGGCGGCCATCTAAACGCCGCATGCTCATTAATTTTCGGGCCTCAAGGGCCCCGCTCGCCAGGACTATGCGTCGACGATGGGCGGGGGGGGGGGGAGGGGCGAGGGGGCGGGAGGGAAATTTGGTCCCCTCAACCCAGCTGGGGGGCGGGGGAACATCCTTGGCCTCGGTGGCGGGGGCCAAGCCACCGACCAGCCCCCGGGCCCCTGGCCTTGGAGCTTGGGCGGTCGTGTCAACGCGAGGACGAAAAACGAAGGATGGGGCCCTTTCTCTTCGCTTCGTGCGCGGCCCTCCATCCGGGCCGACGAGAGACAAGGGTGCGAGCTCGATGTCTGGCGGGACCTGACAGAAAGCCAGGGCGAGTCTGTGGGGTGGGAGGTGCTCGGAGCCCATCCGTTGGCAGATCCCCGATCCACAGGGGCCGCTTGGGCTCCTCCTCCCCCTTTCGGACTGTTTCTTCGGGCGCGCGGATCGCCCGCCCCCGGGGAGAGGGGGGGGGAGGACGATCACCGAGACCAGCACGGGGCGACAAGCCGAGGGGTGTGGGGGGGGGGGGGGGGGGGGGGGGGGGGCCGGTCCAGCCCCACCAGAGAGAGATGGCCCAGGCGAAAGACCGGAAACATGGGCACAATGATCCCGCACCCTTGCCGGAGCCGCGCCCGGCACCCAGGGAAGGGACTCGGCGGGTCTCGCCTTCCTGGCTCCCTGTGTAGAGACGTCCCGGGAGGGGGAAAGAACTGCTTTTATCCTCCCCACCTGGCAGTGTTGCCAGTCAGCCAAGATACCCATCTCTCTCTCTCCCCCTCTCTGCCCTTCCTCCCCGCTCTACTGCCCCTCTTTGCGCCTCACTCTGCCCTCCTGCCCCTCTGTTTGTCTGTCGCTCGCCCCTCCCCCTCCAAACGCGACATGAGCAACCCCGATGACCCCGGCCGTGGGTCGGCTCCCCAGCACGATGGTGATGAGTACTTCGACTCGATCGAGTCGCCGGCCCCTGCTGCTGCTGCTGCTGCTGTCACTGAGGATCTACCCAATGACCAGCCGCCCCCGTACGATCCTGCCGCGGAGGCGGCCCGGTGGAGTGGAGCTCGGCATTCCCGCCGGGGCTATGGCCCCACCCATTTTGGCCGCATGCACCATCATGCCCACGGTCCCAGCCGTGGACATGGCCATGGGCACGGCCATCAACGTGGACATGATCATGGCCAGGATCATACCCAGGGACACGACCATGGCCACAGGCAAGACCATGGGCGCGGCCGCGGCCACGGACACAACCACGGACACGGGCACAGCCACGGGCACAGCCACGGGCACGGACATGGGCACGGACACGGACACGGACACGACCAGTCGCTTGGGCCTATGCATGGTCACCACCACCATCCCCGAGGACGGCATGGCCGCGGTCGCGGCCACTATCGCCAGGGACCCACCGCGCCCGATGCTGAGCTTCCGGTTTATCATGACAATGGACATAACCACGGCCACAGCCACGGCCACAACCATGGACACAACCATGGACACAGCCATGGGCACAGTCACGGACACAGCCATGGGCACAGTCACGGACACGACGCCGAGGACCGGTCCTCGGCCAAGCTGCGCGAACTCCTGGCCGCCAATGACCATGACGCGACGCGAGTGGGCTCGCGGCCTCCTCCAGGGCAGCCGGACTCGGATGGTTCCTCTTCGGACGAGGAGGGACCCTCCCGGCGCTCTGGCCCCCCGGCTGGCGGTGGCCATAGTGACGCCAGCGATTCCGGTGGCTCGGACGACTCCGGCGACTCGGACTGCACCAGTGACGAGGAGGGCGAGCTCTTCGAGGGGAAGCGCTTCCTGGATGTCCTGTCCGCCTTCGAGGCATATCGGCTCAATGGAGAGCATCGCCTTGCGGGGTTCCTGTCCAACATCCAGCGGCTTCCGGCCTCGTCTCGTGGTATGACCTGGGCCCTGGTGGCCGGAGGGGGGTGCTCTTCCCTTGGCTGCTCTGCTCGGGATCCTCTGACCCCCTCCCCTTTTTTTTCCCCGCCCCCCACAGCCCTCCTGACCCCGGTGATGTCCAAGCTGGCCTCGGTGCGGGCATGTGTCGTGGGCAACCAGTACTTCATTGACAAGGTCATCTCGCCGCATTTGGCCAAGTTTTTCTCCGATGAGCCGGAGGCCGAGGAGGTACGTTGCTGGCCGCCAGCTGTGCGCCTGGGTGTCGCCCGCCGGCTGCCCCTCCGAGCGATGTGCTAATGGCTGTGACCCCGGCAGGACCACCGCGAGCGATTGATCTCGACGAAGCTCTCGCAGCATGACAGCGTCAAGAGTGTCCTCGGCCAGCTGGTTCGGGACTGGTCGTCTGAGGGCGCCGAGGAGCGGCGTGTCTGCTACGACCCCCTGTTGGAGGGGCTGGCCAAGTACCTTCCATCCGACCAACGGTGCGCTTGTCGATGCTGGCCCATGTGCCGGGGATATCTTGCTGCCTGCCCCGCGATCAGGGCGCCGCGACCGGAGCCGCCGCGCTTGCCTGGCTAACTTGCCGCCTAGTGAAACCCGCCCCCCGCGTGTGCTGGTTCCCGGGGCCGGTCTCGGGCGTCTGGCCTTCGAGATCGCGCGGCGTGGCTACGAGTGCGAGGGGAACGAGTTCTCGCACTACATGCTCCTGGTGTCGGAGTTCATCCTGAATGGGTGCGTCTGTCCATGCGCTCCACTGCATCTGCCTCCGCCCTCCGCCCTCCCCCCCCCCCCTCTCCCCTGGTCGTTTGTGCTGACCCGGTCGCTCGTGCTGCTCCTTGCCGGGTGTTCGCCTGCGACAGTGGCGCCGTTCCGAATGCCTACCAGATTTTCCCCTTCTGCCTGCAATTCTCCAACAGCTGGGACGCCAGCGACCAGACGCGGCCGGTGACCGTGCCAGACGTGGCCCCGGCGCTGCCGCCCGGGAGCCGATTCTCCATGTCGGCCGGGGACTTCCTGGATGTTTATGCAGTCAGTGGGGCCAACGACGGGGCGACCAACCACCGTGGCCAGTGGGACGCGGTGGTGACGGCCTTTTTCATCGACACTGCGCACGACATTGTGGCCTATCTCCAGCGCATTTGGGATCTCCTCCCGCCGGGTGGGGTGTGGCTGAACAATGGGCCGCTGCTGTTCCACTTTGAAAACACCCCGGGCGAGCTGAGCATCGAGCTCACCTGGGCCGAGGTCCGCCAGGTGGCCGAGTCCATCGGCTTCGAGGTGAAGGTGCGTCCCCCTGCCTGCCGAGGTGGCTTCGGGCGAGGCGTGCCTGTCCTAACCGCCGCTCTCCCGGCCATGTCCCTCGGCAATGATGTGCACGCACGCGCGCGCGCGCGGAAACAGGAGTTCCGCCAGATCGACAATGTGCCGTATGCGTCCAACGCCAAGTCCATGCTCAGGTACCAATACCAGTGCGCCTTCATGGTGGCCGTCAAGCCGGAGTAAAGGGGGGGGGGGGGGCCGGACGATTGGAGCGGACCGCCAGGCGGTGGCTCTTGCAAAGGCCCCTGCGCCTCCCCGGACAAAGCACATCCCGCCCGAATACATGCGAGTGGGTGTTAATTGGGATTTGAGTTTATTCTGCCAGCCTCTGCCGGTATTCTGGTTTCATGTTGTGTTCTTGTTCTGTAGAATGTGGGGAAGACCACAATCCATCTGGGGGTCGAGCCGCCGGGGGGGCACGCACTCCAATGTGTCCGGTGGCCTGTTGACGGGCTCTGGTGCGGGTGCCGTGCAAGGTGCTGCAACAGGTCTAACAAACGCCGAAACGCATTCTGGCATATGAGCACCCCTGTCTCGGCCGCTGCTGCTTGAGGCCGCCGGCTCCGCGCTGTCCCGGGGAGGACTCGGGAAAAGAAAACCAGCCCCCCTGCTAGATCCCCGGCCGCACCCACCAGGCGGAGACCCGGGATGCGCCCTGAGCAGGGAGAAAACCGGGCCCCGGCGAGAAGAAAAGGCAAGGGGCGCGCCCTGCATGGCCGGGCGAGGGGGCCGCAGAATGGTGATGGCTGGTTTGCAGGCGGCCTGTGCGGAGAGAGGGGACGGGAGTCTCGGCAGCAGCCAGGCGGGATACGGCACAGAGCGCGCGCTGTCTCCGGCGGGCGCGCGATGACCGGGGAGGAACTCCTCCCGGGCGCCCCCCTGGCGCGTCCACTGCGCGGCGCCCGTGCGTTAACTTGCCTCCCTCTCCCCCCCTGCCAGCCGGGTCCCAAGATCCCGGGCCCCCTCCCGCGGCCGCGAATGCACAGAATGCCGTGGGCGCAAGAGCCGAACACATACACACACACACGTGCTGTGGCTGCCCCCCTCCCTCCTGCGGCCTGTGCCCCCCCCTCGGCCCTGCTCTGCGCGCATCGCCCCCCGCGCCGGCGGAGGGGGAGGGAGAGGCGACGGGGAGAGGCGCACGGGCGCGCGCCGGGACCGACACAAACAAGGACACACACACACACGACCGGCACAAATGTATATCGGCCACTAGGTTTCATTAGGAGCCACAGAACAACGGTGCAGCGCGCAGAGCGACGGGAGACGACGCGCGAGGCGCTTAGTTGCGCTTGGGGGCACGGCGGCGGGTGTGGGTGTTCTCAGCCTTGACAACACCGGTGACCTCACCAGGGAAGACAGCGGCAAGCATCTTCAGGGTGACGGCATCAACCTCAACACGGTCGGTGTTGACGGCGGACTGCTCGGGGACCCAGTTGTCACGGCGCTCGCGCTCCTCCTCCTGAAGCTTGAAGGAGATACCGCGGACGGGACCGCGCTGAATGCGCTTCATCAGGTGGGTGGTGAAGCCGGCGATCTTGTTGCGGAGGCGCTTGGAGGGGATGATGGCGACCTCATCAGCGATGCGCTTGTTGGTGTGGAAGTCAAGGGTGAGCTTGGGGTAGTACTTCTCGACGAGGACGCGAGAAGCCTTCTTGACGGTCTTGGTGCGAACACGGCCCTGTGCGTGTGTGTGTCGTCCGGAGGGGGGGGAGGAGGGGGGGGGAGGAGAGGGGGGAGGAGAGCGGCACGGAATGAGCAGGGTCAGCATATGATGGGGTGGCGTCGTGGGGCGTCGGATGCGAGATTGGAAAGTCACATCCGCGGCAGGGCAGCGAGAAAGGGGGAGGCGGGAAGCCAGGGCGATGGCGCGAGTGGGCACCGCCCCCCACGCGGGTCGGGGCAGCCTCGGCCGCTCTCTCCCCTCCTTCGCGTAGGGTGCCTCTCTCTCGCTCGGGCCCGCTCTGCCATCGGCGTGCGTGTGATGGGGCGCGGGTGTCGCCGCGTTTCCCGGTGGTCCCTCCCAAAGCTGGTCTCCTTCTCTCGTCGGGATCTGCGCCGTGACCGGGTTGCCTCCCTGCGCGAGGGGGGAGAGGGGGGGTGGCGGCATGACGAGCGGGGCCATGTGCGATGACTGGCCCTCTCTCCGACAAGGGAAAGAGGAGGCCCGAGCATGGCTGATCATCAGGGTGCCTCTCGCCCCCTCACGTCAGGAAACCGGAGGAGATCGTGGCGCGGTGCGCGCGCGCGCGCGTGGCGTTCCCGATGGGCGAGACGCGGAAAACCGGAGGGCGGAGATACCCCGGTAGACGGGGGCGAACGCCGGCCATCAATCCGCGCTGGAGGGGGGGAGGAGAGGACGAGAGAAGGAGACAGCGAGCGGGGAGGGGGGAGGGGCGGGGGCGCGGGGCATCGACCATGCACACCCGTGCCGAACACGCGCGCATCCACAGACACAGGCCGATGGAGAGGGAGAGCGGAGACCGAGAGAAGCCGAGCGAGGGGGGGGGGGAGGGGGCACACGGGGGGGGGGCGAGACGAGAAAGAGAGAGGAGGGCAGTGGGCGGGGGAGGGAAAAGGAGAACTAACCATTGTGACAGGAATAAATCTCAAAGGAGTGTAGGGAAAAACAACAACCAAAAGAGAGAGGCCGGGGCAATGATAGCCCGGCTGCCGGGGTTCCGGCTCTTCAAGCGTGCGGGCCGGGCGCGCCGTGGGCCGGGCGCCTCCCTCTCTGCGGTGGGTGGGCGCGTGCGTGTGCGCGCGCGCGCGGGCACGTGCGTGGGCGCCGCGCGAGAGTGGCAGCAGCGAACGGACCCCAGGCGGGCGAACCCCACGCACACGCCCGGGACACCCACAGGCACACACACACACGCGCGCACACACACAAGGGGCCGGGGAAGCTGGCAGCTGGAAATGCGGGGCCGGTGACCAGGGCGCCGGGGTGTGGGGGGGGGGGGGGGGGGGTGGTACGGCCCTCCCCCCCACACTCTTCCGCCCCGATCCAAGAGTCGGGCCCGGGCGGACGGCGCGCCAAATTCCGGCAGGACGCGGCCTGGACGGGGGTGCATGCTCGGTGGCATCACATGCGGCGGAACCGCAAGCGCTTCGAGAGATGGGCTTCTCCCGCACCCCCGCGCCGGGGCCAAAAACACGGCCCCTTGTGCCCTCCCCCCGTCCGGGCGCCAGGGCGTGGCGTGGGCCCGTGTCCCCCCGGCGACGAGGGCAGCCCCCCGCGGGTTCTCTCTCTCTCTCGCGCGCCCGGCCTTCTCCACCCTCGCCTGGCGGGGGGGGGCTTGGGTTGGCAGGACATCCTGCGCCTGGTGGCGAACGGACGGGCGGCGGGAGAGAGCCCATTTTACGACCGACGCCGCTGCTCTCGGCATAGCCGGGCGCCTCTTGACAGGGGGCACACCACCCAGGAACGGGCGGCGGGACACCAGCAACGAGAGGCACCGTGCTCCATCTGCCGGTGGAGGGCGGCCACTGGCCGCGGGAGGAGACCGTGCCTCGCGCCGCCGCCCGCCCCTCATGAGGGGGCGACAAACACCCAAGCGAGAGGCGATATGCCCCACGAACGGGGGCACCGTTCGGCCGGAAGTGGGTGCACTTTTGGGACGAAAAAGTCGCGCTTGAAAAGGGGCCATGCTACGGCGTAAAAGTGACTTCATTGGACATGTGATCGGACAACGGTGTTCTGCCTTCGGCCACACCGTCGGCGCTCCATCTCCCGTCAACCTTGCGGAGGATCCGCCCTTCGGTGCCCGCCCGAGATAACACATTAATCAATATTTATTACGCATTTAATTCATAATTGAGAGAGCCCTTGAGGTGCAGATGTGGGGCCGGGGGGGGGGGCGGGGGACATTTTACCGGCGGTTTGGGGGCAAGTTTGGTGTTACGTGAAGTAAAAATGCCTCCGCCCCGACATGCAAGTGCCAGCCGGGGACTTTCTTTTCTCCCCGCTTCTTCGGGGGCCGCGAGAGGGGCGGTTTCTCGGGGGGGGGAGGGGGGGACACGACCCGTTGCCGCCGGTTCGCCGGAACGGTGCCTGCCTTTCGTGATGGTTATGGTGCTCGTTGGTCCGTGTGCCCGCGCGCGCCGGGGGTCGTCCTGCTCGGGGTGGGGCATTTTGGTGGATGTGGTGGCCCGTGTGCGGGGCTGGTGCGCCCTTCCCCAAGCGCCGGGCCGGCCCCTCGGTCTCCGGCGCGCGGGTGTGGTCGTTCGCGATGAGCCCCCCGCCCCGCCCGCCCCCTCAGCTGCGCACGGGCAGGCAGGTGGAATGTATCGGCGGTTCGCACCGCTCCTCCCCGTATGCCCCCCTCCCCGCCCCCACCGGGCAAGCGCCCCCGCCCCCTGACTCCCTCGGGCGCGGTATGGTCCTTCCGAGGAAGGGGTGTTTCTTCTTGGGGCACGCTTGGACCGGGGGCTCCGGCCGAGAGCAACGGGAGGCGGGCGGCTCGGTGCCGGCCGCGAGTGCGCCCGCCGGCGCTGGCCCGCCCGCCCGGCATCGGTGTCTGATCCGTTTGGGCTTGTGCGAGCGAGCGTTCACCGGCCTCCGGGGCCTCCCCTCCGCCGGGGCCGGGGCCTCTGTCGGAATGAAGGAACCCCCGGGTGGAAATCCGCTCGGATAGAGAGAACTCCCGGGGGCTTGGGGGGACGCTCCGCCGGGCGCCCTGCCTCGGGCCTCTCTCTCTGTCTCTCGTCTGCCCTGTGGTGGCGAGCGCCGCGCCGGGGTGTGGGCGGGCATGCCGCCGCCTCCCCCCCCCCCCCCCTCCCCGGGGCCCCTCGGCCGGCATAGGCGCCTCTGGTGGTCTTGCGCGCCGGGCCGGGCCGGGCCTGCAGGAGCCTGGTGGGTGGATGATCTCCTTTTCAGGGGGCACACTCTCCCCTGCCGGCCTCTGGCCGTGCGCGGCCTGCAGGCTTGTGCGGTTGCGTGTTGTGGTCATGTATTCCTGTGTGAGTGTGTGCATATATGTGCGCACGACCCCCGCCCGGTCTTCCCCGGGGGCGGATATTATTCCCGAGTGTGCCTGTCGGCCTCGGACCGTGTGGAGGGAGGGGCCGCGCCCCAAGTTATGGGGCGGCTCACGGTCGGTGTGTCTCTGGGGCCGGCGAGCGAGGGGAGGGGGGACGTAAATCCGACCGGGCGGGAGGCTGGGCCGGGGTCTCCTCACGGCGGCGGGCGGCCAGTGCCTGTAACCCGCTGGGCCCGGCTTCGCGGCCTGGCCCGCAATCCGGGATGGAACGCG